AAGATGAGTTGACCATAGAGTTGAGGGTCCATTTCTGGGCTCTCTATTCTGTTCCATTGATCTCTGTGTCTATTTTTGTGCCAGTACCATACTGTCTTGATCACTACAGCTTTGTAATATAGCTTGAAGTCCGGAATCATGATGCCTCCAGCCTTGCCTTTTTTTTTTTTTTTAAGATTTAATTATTTGAGAGAGAGAGAGAGAGGGTGAGCAGGGGGAGGGGCAGAGAGAAAGGGGTAGACGTAGACCCTGCACTGAGCACAGAGTCCGACGTGGGGCTCAATCCCACAAACCTGAGATCATGACCTGAGCCGAAATCAAGAGTGGGATGCTTAACTGACTGAGCCACCCAGGCACCCCTGCTTTTCTTTTTCAGGACTGCTTTGGCTATTCGGGGTCTTTTGTGGTTCATACAAATTTTAGGATTGTTTGTTCCAGCTCTGTGAAATATTCTGGTGGTATTTTGACAGGGATTGCATTAAAAATTTAGATTGCTCTGGGTAGTATAGACATTTTAACAATGTTTCCTCTTCCAATCCCTGAGCATGGAATGTTTTTTCCATTTCTTTGTGTCCTCTTCAATTTCTTTCATAAGTGTTTTATAGTTTTCAGAGTACAGATCTTTTACCTCTTTGGTTAGGTTGATTCCTGGGTATCATAATAGTTTTTGGTGTGAATACCTATTGCTTTTAATATGAAGTCTTTAAGGTAGGAGTTATTTTCCCTGGCACATTACGGCTCTTGTCCCTCTGGGTGCTCAGGGTATCCCTCTCTAGTGTCCTTTGAAGCAGAGGTGAGAAGAAATACCCTAAGCACACCTGGAATGATTCTGTCCACACCTGTCAGCTCTCCTTTAGCAAAAACTGCTGCTACAAGAACAAAGCTCAATTCATCTTGAAATTATGTCCACACCTGTCAGCTCTCCTTTAGCAAAAACTGCTGCTACAAGAACAAAGCTCAATTCATCTTGAAATTACTATTATTTTTTTTAAGAAATCAAGGCTTTAGCATCTTCCTTAGAAAGATATATACCATGTGAGATTTTTTTTTTTTTAATCACTCTCGTGCTCCCTCCAAAAGAGAAACATGCCACTGGGAATTTTACTACTAAAAACTATGACAAATAGCTGCTCCTATATTTAAAAATCTTCAGACTGTCAATATGCACACACATATTCTAAAAATAGGAGTTCCACATTTGCAAATAGTTCTTTATTATATTCACATTTCAGATTTTGAGACATCTACTGGGCCCTAATGGAATCCATAATGACAACGGTGCCCCTAACATGAATCCTGTGTGAAAGTAGTTCAGAGATGCAGCGCCTTTAGGAAACCAAGTGAGCAAAAACCTCTCAGAAACTGCTTACAAACACCTCAACATAAAGGAAAGTGTAAGGTACTACTTTTAGGAATAACTAGGTAGACCAAAATTTAGAACTGTAAAAGTACAAATGTGCTGCACATCAGCTCTCCAAACCCAAGAAAGGATAAAGAGCAAGCTCAGAGAAAGGAAATTTAAAAAAAAAATAATATGAATCAATCTCATTCTCAAACTCTCCCCCCCAAACCCCATCCTGCTGTCTCTTTCTCTTACTACTTCAGCCTGATTCAACTGTTGTAATCCCTCCCAAACAGCCCTGCACATGAAAACCTCTAAGACTTTCCTGGCCTTCCGGCAAGTTCTTGCTAACCAACATCTGAGATGTCATGGCTTCAGATCCAATAACAATGACTTTGAAGTTGACAGGCTGAGATAAGTTTTGGTCATCAAAGGCACAGCCAAATGGGGCAACCTCCAGATCTTCTTTAGAAACAGTGGCTGTTTGTGACTTACTCTGAGACTATTAATTCAGACTTTATAAAATATAGCTTATAACATCAGTCTCAGGAACCAGGCCTAGAGTAGCCTCATTCAGCTAATGGGGACCTTTCTGGACACAGAGTTGAAGAAGTTCAGCTGTGTTTTTTTTTATTTTCAATATCATTTGGTTAACTTTTAGAAATCCAACCAAGTGTTCCATCAAAATGAAGGCATTACAGGTAATCCCAGGTGACTAAAAGGATTCTCACCACCACTATTTAATACATGTTTCATGTAACACCTGTTTTGGATCTTTCTTTGACTTCTTACATAGAATCCATGGAGCAAAGGGCTCCTGGAGTCAGCCCCTGGGTAAGTCATTTTCTATATTTCAACATCTTTTTCTAGCATGTTAACTCATAACTGAAAAATGATAGGGCCAAACAGGCTTTTTTTTCTTCAGTAGATTCTTTTCTAAAGTCCTAACAATGGTAGATTAAAGTAGTCAAATCAAATCTTTCATACACAAAGGAATGAAACTATTAACCCCGCAAGCGGATCCACCCGGCCCAGTGTGGCCCGAGGGGCGTATCCCGCAGGGGAGTAGCGCACGCCGGCCCCGCCCACTTACGGTTGGCCAGACGGCCCTGCTCGGGCTGTGCGCTGTCCGCGGACTGGGTGCTGGAGACCGAGGACACGCTGGAACTCCGCACAAACCCAAACGCCGCTAGCTTGGCTGCCGGGAGACGCGAGTATCCGGGAGGACGAAGTCCAGATTTGGGTAGACTGGATTTTGCAGCATTTGAACCGGAGGCTTTCTTTAAATCTGCTATAATTAACGAAAACAAAACAAAACAAAAAAATCCGTTGACAACAAGATAGAGAATACATGGACTACGAATATTAATCTAGCTCTATCATAAACAGACCACAATCAATCTTGCAGGGTGTGCTTTAGCACATTCACAAACACATCTTTATGAGAAAGGCCCCTCGCAGTGGGCTGGGGGTTTCAGAGAATTCAAATAAGAGGAGAGGCAGCGGGGCAGATGAGACAAGAACAGACAACTAGTTCTATTATATGACCATAAACAAAGGTATACAGTGCTTAGGAAGCTGAATGGAATGAACACTTACTGTTGCACGTTACCCTAGAATTGTGAAATAGACATACACCTTAAAATCTGACATGCAGTGGGCAAAGAGCCCTTGTGGCAAATAATTCATCAGCAATTTTAAACAGTATGTGATAATTCATGGAAGCATGTACAAAGAATCGTTTGCTAACATTCTGTTGGTTGTAGGAATGAGGTGGGCACAAACTATGGAGCTGGCCAGTTGGAAATCCAGTCTCTGTCATTTATTAGCTGTGTAACCTCGGAAACTTGACCCAACACTTTAGAACTCAGTTTCCTCCCATGGAAGGACTGGGATGATAAAACTGGCCTCAAAGGTCTAATATAAATATTATTGCTTGTAACAGAACTTTATAGGTGCTCCAATTAATGCTAGGGTTTTTTTTTTTTCCTTTCTCCATGATCTGGTTTTGTGTTAAACTAAAATTCAAAAAACAAACTAAACTTCAAAATTAGTTCCCAGATATGTGCAAAGCCAGCTAATTTTGAAATAATAAAACATCATGCTATAAATCCACCATCTCAGCATGATGATATCTGAACCAGGCTCTGTTCATGGCCACTGCAATGATCATCTCCACACTATAAGAAGTCTTTCAATATCAGATAGAACCAGGATGTTATCACACACAAATACTCTTTAATATTCCTTAAAAGGAAAAAGGGCTAAAAGTCCTAATATTCTGTATAATTGTCCTAGTGAAGCCATTTATAACTTTTACCTGCCATATTTACTGTGAGTGCTTATATACAGATCCTTCAGCAATGCTCCTCACTCCTTATTATCTACTGAAAGATTAACCGGGTTTCAGACTAATAATAATAAAAAAATTTAAAAAATTGATGCCTAAAAATCAATGAAGAATCTATAATAGAAATAAATCTATGTATGGAAATCTGTGGAGAACCAACAGATGTCAATCTGGTCCAGTGGTGCCTCTTCCTCTACTAGGAGCTCCCCCTAAGAGTGAGGCTGTAGCCAGTTGTACATCCAGATGAAAGCAGAATATGCACAACTATGGTTTCCTGATTTCTGGGTCAGGACTAGGAGGAGGAGGAATCAGGTGAGTGCAGAGGGAAGAGGGAACAGGGATCTGGGGCTGCAATATTCCCAATTCAGTTCTGTCCTTCTGCTTGGGAAAAAAATGTTCAAATATGATGAGAAATAGTCATTGTTTAATAAGTAGTAATGGCCCTTCTGTATCAGCAATTAAATGTCAGATCAGTGCCTTCAATTGCTGTTCTATCATTTTGCATACTCTGAGATGATATCCCCAGAACAATGAAAGTGTCCCCGTAAATCAGATACATTTTCGCAATAAATTTAAACTAAAGCAATTTTGGATAACGCCTGTAAAACAGTTTCTAAAAAATCAGATGTGATTTCAATAATAAGTATACTAAATCCATCATGTTTTGATACTAATTTCAGTTATAGAGGGTAAGAGTATAACCTCTTTCCCAACCCAGTTAATCAATAACTGATTTAAGATTACACAAAATCAAGTGAGAAGAATATGAATAAATGGGTTTTTTTCCTAGTAAACAAACCCATATTTCAGAATGAAGGAAAGGTCAGAATTCCTAACAGAACACCTTGGCATATAATAAACATTCATTTAATATTCATTTAAGAATGAAAACTAGATACTCCTGGGTGGCTCAGTCAGTTGAGCATCCAACTCTTTGATTTTGGCTCAGGTTCATGATCTCATGGTAGTGGGATTGAGCTTCACACAGGGCTCCATGCTCAATGCAGAATCTGCTCAAGATTCTTTCCCTCTCCCTCTACCTGTCTCCCTGCTTAGGCACTTGCACGTGTGTACTCTCTCTCTAAAATAACTAACTAAATAAATAAATTCCTTTAAAAAATTAAAACTAGTTTATTAAATCATTATATAAGACAATAAAAGCACTGAAAATGTTCAAAGAGGAATTTACCCTATTCTACCCTTACCTATATTTAAGGATTGCTCATGTTGTCGGTAGAAAGGTAGCATGTACATGCAGAGAGGGAACTCAACAACACAGGATCCCAAGCAGACATGACGTAGGTCTCTAAGTGAGTTCTGGGCTTTCACTTTCCCTTAGTCCATCTTTCCCTTTGAATAAAGGCACATACTGTGAGTGTATGTGGGTGTAGGCTACTTGTGGGAGTATGTCTTACACCAACTCTCTGTGTACATAATTTTTTCTAAATTTAATGTAATCCATACATCAAGTTAGTATCCAGTGGTCTCTCCTCCTACCAGATACATCTCACAAATAGCTTACGTACCTTCAGGGTTTGGAAGAACAGGTCTCATTCTTTGGAAACCATCAGTGCCTAGCACAGTGGTTTTGACAAATTATTCAATCAAATTTAGCTGAAGTCTGCAGTAGCCAAGCTTGCACAACATGAATATAGCCTGCTGTGTGGGCTGAACACCTCCACTGGTCTCTCTGCATGTGAACTAGGCTGGAATGGGGCTCTAAACTCTGCTTTCTAAACAAGCACCTCTGTGATTCTCATTCAGGTAGTCCATGGAGCATACTTTGGGGTGAAAACGTCAAAGAAGATGCCATATCAGCCTGGGAAAGGTGCTCTTCAGCATTACATACTGACTGAATGTGCCTTAATTTAATCTTGGTTTCTCATAAAAGGAATTTACTTATAAAAATGTGCACTCCTTACTATTTCTCAAGTGCAGCATGTCAGAAGAATATATTTTTTTCAACTATGTAGTGTCCTTGGACTATTCAAGAATACAGACTTTGATGGAAATAGCATATCAAAGTGCACAGTAAGTCCTCAATAAACAAATGATAATAATTAATATTAAATAAAACCGAGCAGACACATAAGAGAGACATCTTCCACAATGGTGGCACGAGGAGCTTCATGGACACTTTCTCCAGTAAACCAACCATAATTAGTAAAAATCATTTTTAAAAAACAATCATTTATTTATTTATTTTTAACAACAATCATTTAAAGTTTCTAGAAATTGTTCTAAGGGCATACAGCAAATAAACATTTATAAATGAAAATCTACTAAGTCCCAGTAAGAATAGTCAGACTGGATGGCACTTGAGCCTGACCCACTCCTTTCCTCCTCTGCAACCCTGTCCATCTCAGCATGATGAAAGCTCTACTCTGGGTGGCTGGGACCAAGGCAACAGGATTTCTCTCCCCCTGCTCAAGAACTACCATATCTCACTGGGAGAGGCGGGCCACCATCATTTCCCATTCCCTATGCCCTCCCCTCAGGTCCATGTTGCAGAAACTAAATTACATGCAAGCAAGAGGCCAAGAGGTCAGGAGACTCTCCCTTCGCCCAGCCCCAAGTAAGAGGGCAGAGGCACTACCCCCTCTTACCACAGCAGGCCAAAAATACTGGGGCCCTAATCACTGTTGCCCTGGCTCACTTGTAGGCTAGAGGTTCAATATCAGGAGAGGTAAAGGGAGAAGAACAGAAGCTACCGACCCTGCCTAGCAGCCACCTGTAAATCAGGATTGCCACTCCTAGAGGAGCAGACCTGTGTCCCTGCCACATCCCCCAGCAGAGTCATAACTAAGAGGTTTGCCCAAAGGCAGAGATAGGCCATAAGAACAAAAATCACTGAGGCACTCTGTAATGCCCACATTAAAAAAGAAGAAAGATGTTATATCAATAAAGTAATCTTCCATCTAAAGACACTGAAGAAAAAAAGAGCAAACCAAATGTAAGTAGAAGGAAGGAAATAATAAATACTAGAATGGTAATAAATATAACAAAATGGAGAAGTAAAAAGTCAAGAAAATCAAATTTGGTTTTTAGAAAGATCAACAAAGTTGGCAAACCTTTAGTTACAACTGATCAAGAAAAAAGGAGAGAAGACTCAATTTGTTAAATGAGGAATGAAGAGGGGACATCACTACTAATCTTACAAAAGTAGAAAAAATTATAAGGGAATATTATGAACAACCTAGTGAAATGAACATGTTCCAGAAAAACACAAAGGAAAAAAAAGGAAATAGAAAATCTGAATATTCTTACAACAAAGAAATTGAATTAGTAATCCAAAAACTTCCTACAAAGAAAAGCCCAGACCCAAATATCATTAATAGGGAATTCTATCAAGCATTTAAAGAATTTATACCAGTTCTTCACAAATTATTCCAGGGAGGGAGGGAGGGAAAGAGAGAAACACTTCCAAACTCATTCTATGAGGCCAGTGTTACTTGATAACCTAACCAAACATATCACGAAAAAAAAGAAAACTCTTACAGATGCAAAATTCTCACCAAAATATAGCAAACTGAAATCAGCCACATATAAAAAGTATTACATACCATAACCAAGTGAGATTTATCCCTAGAATGAAAGAGTGGTATAACATGGAAATCAATGTACTATGTCATATGAATAGAACAAAGAAAAACCACATGATCATCTCAATATATGCAGAAAAATCACTTGACAACTTCCAAGAGCATTTCATGAATAGAAAAATGTCCTCAACTTGGTAAGGGGATGGAAAAAAAATCCATAGCTAACATCATACTCAATGGAAAAAGAATGAATCCTTCCCCCATAGATCAGGAACAAGGCAAGGCAGTTTGCTCTCATCACTTCTACTCAATATTTTATGGAAGGTTCAAGTCAGGACAATTGGGCAAGAAAATTAAAAGCCTCGCAGATTGGAAACAAGAAGCAAAACTTTCTCCATC